GGAGCGCCGCCACGCTCCCAAGCGGCGCACTGTAGCAGTGCGCCACCGGGCCGGCCCGGAAAAAATATTTTGAAATAACATTAGATTGAAAAAGTAGAACACAGAATTGTATATACATTGAAAACAAACTTGATAAGAAAGATGATCCCATACAGACAAAGACTACAAAATGATGCAGAGAAATCAAAAACATTCTTCTTAAGATGTCAGTGGCATAGTGGTCACAGTGGTCCTGGAACCCAACTGCCTAGGTTCCTATCCGGGCACACTTTTTATCCACCACTGTAATCTTAGGCAGTGACTTAACCACTTGGTTTCTTGATTTTCTCATCTATAAGATGCAAAAATGAAGAGAGAATATAAAACAGCAGTTGTGCAGCGCATAGTGCTCAAATGTTTGTCATTATTGTTTTAATGGTGACTTTTTTCTAAGTTTACTTTAATGTTTCATATGTTATTACTACAATATTTTTTGAAAATCCATGGTAGAATACTTGATCAAACTTTAAGACTTAAAAAATACTTTTTTGCAATTCCTAATTATCAACAATAACTTAGGCATTATAATAACCCCCAGCCTAAAATCTTTCAAAGTTCACACGTGTGTACATAATTTTCTTAATCTTAATGAGCATCTTATAATTTAGAGCAGCTTGCTCACATGACAACATGTTTGTCTTGAATCTGCAGATGAAGCTACTGAATCTTTACATCAAACGTGCACAAACAGGTTCTGGAGGAGCTGATCCTACTACTGACGTTTCTGGACAAAGTTAGTGAAGCTCATCGAAGTGAACCAGGTCTCTCAAAGAAAGGACAGACAGACCACCCTCGTCAATGAAAGGAAATTCTCAAATACATCTTCTGGAACTTAACCATTGTTTTCCAGTTTTAGTTTTTTGTTTTGTTTTGTTTGTATTTTCTGTAACAGAGGCCTATCCTCAGTCTGCATGTAACTTTTATGATAGTTATTCCAAATTCAAGAAGAAGCAGTATTAACATCAACTGATCAATACAAAGTAATTTTTAATCTAATTCATCATTTCACATGTTTGTACTTCTTTGTCTTCCCATTAACCTTTGCCAGTGTTATGATTGTATAAATTTTTTTAAATGCTGGTTAAACAGGAATGCTTAAAGCTTTAAAAGTTTAACTTTTTTTGCCTTTATTCAATTGACAAATATTTTTTTTTGCTACTTTGAGTTTTGTTCTGTATCATGTCCTATGCTAGAGATATTGAAATGATGTGAAACAAAGCAGGACTAATTTTAACTTCAGCTGGACTCTGTTGGTGTGATGGTGATACATGTTATTAGTTGCAATTCCTTTGGGGTGATCTGTAGTTTGAAAACTGAGACCTCAAAGAGAAATATTACAGAATCAGCCAATTCTGTAAAACTGATATTGTTTGTTGGTTATTGATCTTCCCATCTTTATTTAAAACCATGTCCTTTCTATGATCCCTTAAGAAAGCTGCACCAAATCATCTGCCCATTTTTTTTCTTGATACTTATTAAAATAGAAGGTTTCATTGCAGGATTTTTGGTTTGTTTATCTTTGTTGCGAATGATGCTTTTTTTTTGTATTTATTAATATCAAATTCACTTATGAATAAACTTAATAGTGTGTAAGAAAATAATCTAAGTGATTCATTTTCAGAAATAATTCAAGCCCAGCCTGAAAGTTGTCTGGTTCAGCCCATTCCTGGGGGGTCGCTGAATAGATAAATTTGTCCTTAAGCTGGTAATGAGTTACCAGCCCTTAATTGTTTACTTCAAATGGATAAGGTTCTCCTTGAGATGGTAGTAAATTAATAGCCCTTTATTGTTCTCTTCATTTCCTAACGTTTCTCCTTTAACAGGGTTTCGGGGGGCCTCTTTCGCAGACTTGTCCTGAGCCCTCAGACAAAGAAATTTCTTACAAGGGGGGAAGTACATTGGGGTAATGTTAGACGTCATGCGGGAAGATTGCGCGCCCCAACCAATGAGGACGCAGGGGCAGGGACTTGCACACTAAGAAATAAATTGCTTGCTGTAGCCCTTTTCCGGTTGCCTGCCCGTCAGACACCCGAACCTTGCAAGGCTGTAATTAAAGTGTCCCTTCCCTGTACCTCATGTCTCCGTGTCCATCCTTTGGCCTTGGACAGATGAGGGCATTTCTCACATAGTGGAAACAAGCAAACAAACAACAAAAAAAATCAGTGCGTGTGTGTCCTTGACTGTCTTCTGTTTCTCATTTAATAAGAAAACTAATTATTGAGACATGGGAATCGACCAGCACCTTTTTTTAAAATGGTGGAACCTGGTTTCCTTTTACCATGAAATTGTCTTACTTGAAAATATCGATCCTGATGAAAGAGAAGATGGTGCCAAGGCTATCTTTGTATAATAGGCTCAAATTCTCTACCTCGTCAGGGCTAATACTTTTAACTGAGCTGCTGCCTATAGTGTCTTTTGGAAAACTACTTAAAGATTGATTTTCTGTTACTTTTTAACAAATTATTTTAATCACTTTTTGCTACACCTGTTCTTTTCCTGTGCAGCCAATTTTCAAAAATTACCAGTTTTGGTGAAAGGCCAAAGTAGATAATTTGGAACCAGGATACTGATGATTTCTCTTCTTGACTTTTTTTAATCCTAACATAAAGTGAATTTGACTGGAAAGGCGAATAGCTATTAGGGAAGCAATTTGCTATTGTTACAGAGTTATCTGTACTTTGTTTAACTGAAATGTAGAAATGTATGTAAAGAGTTTAAGACAAGAGTACCGAATGGATGATTTGTCATAGGCATTTCCCTCCTTTGTTTCTGTTCTAGCAGCAAGAAAGGAGTTTCTTTATATCCTCTCCCCCTTACCTGTAACTGTTTTGTTTTCTACTGTTAATTACATTGTGTATTTATAGTTCTATGCTTACTGTTGTGCATATACTGGCAATAAAACTGTATATAACACTACTTGAAAAAATTAATAATGTATATCAGCTGTTTTTCTGTCTCCCTGTGTAACAAGTCATTTATAACGAGGTTGTGGTTTTTTCCTTAACTTTAGAAGGTCTTGTATCAATGGTGTTCTCATGAATTTTCTAAGTGCATCTGAGGAGAAAAGATATATAAAGAATAGCAATCACAATCAAATGTATATAGCTATATACGCATGTATGTATTAAAGCTTATCTTTAAAAAGAAAAGGCATTTTAAACATGGAACTCTTCTCAGTAGTGTTTTATGTATCATGATCTTTGGTATGTTTTGTAATCATTTTGAATCAAAATATTGATTTAATTTTGACATCTGTTTTAAAGTACTGCTTTAACTATTGTTAACAACTAAATTGAATAACTTAAGCTAACTGAAAAATTAGACCAAGCACTTGGCATCTAATGGCAGGCACTCAAGAAACGAATGAACTAACAAAAGTGTGGTTTAATACGTCTAAATGAAAGCTCATATATATAAACACGAAAAAACTTCATGTTTAAAATTCCATAATTTTAGTTTGATAAGACTATGAGAAAGTTATTGGTTACTCAAACCACTATATGCAATATACCCTTAATTTGTTTATTCCAAAAACATACTTAGATGTCAGCTATTAAAGAATGATCATGAAAAGCTACTGTTTAAATTTTTTCGTACCGCTTTTCTGCCCCAAACTAATTATCAGTGTCTTTCGTTTACTGCAGTGCTCCAAACTAATTAAAACCATATTATTCCAGATTATAAACATGTTTATTTCTTTGGGGTTTCAAAATCTATAATAGACCTCTTATTTGTTTGCTTGTTTGTTTGCAGCTGGCCATTAGAAGGATTGAATCTTGGACCATGGTGTTATCAGCACCACCCTCTCACCAACTGAACTTCTGATATTAAGTAAAATATGGTTTGAACCTGAGGCTTCAAATTAGGAATTAGCTGCTGTGTTCCTACATTTTTTTTTTTTCCTTTTTTTGTCTTTTTTCGTGTCCGGCAACGGATCGCAACCCTCAGTGTCGCGCCCGTACCGGACCGGCAACGGGATTGCAACCCTTGGCATCGCAACCCTTGGCGTTGCGGCATTATTTGAAATTTTGTAAACAATTGAAAAATAGCGTAATAACTTCGTATAGCATACATTATACGAAGTTCTACGATTGATATTCACTGAATATTCTTCTAACAAATAGCTACATATTTGTCAAATCTCCAATTATTTTATACTAGGCAATTTTGTAGGTAGCTTTAATATGAAATTGCTAAATATAGAAATTTCATTGTTTGTTCAAAGATAAACTAGTTGCTTAAATAGCTGGGTTTAAACTACTCCTATAATAGTAATCTAAGTAGAACTGGAAAATAAAACAAGATTTCTTCACTTTATACGTACTGGACTTTCAGTGTTTCAAATTTACCTGCCTTCATCCATGCAAGTTATCTGAGTACCTGCCTTTGAGGAGACAGTAAAGCAAGTAACTTTAACACAGTGTGATTAATGCTATGATAGAAACAAAAGATACTATGATGGTAGCTGAGGGGCAAGCGAGAAGAGACACAGATAAGGGCTAATCACGGAAGGCTTCCTAGAGGAAGAGGTGATGCTTAAACCTAGTCTAAAGGCTGAATGTGTCCGAGATGCATTGGGGTTATAGGGTGGGGAGAGCAGAAGTAGCAAGGCAGCAATATATGAAATAGCAAGAAGCATTAGGCATATCACTGGAACTTTTTAAATCATTGTTTATTTTCATAAATGCAAAAAAGTCTCACATGCTTTCCTCTCCCTTAAAAACATCCAGAACAAAAATATTAATCTGTGCATCCTTGCAACCAAGAAAGTTTGGATATAGCTTTTCTTTCAGTGGTTTGTATTTTTAAAGTTTTTCTTTTATTGTGAAGTTATACTGTTGATTTGTTTTTTCAAACTGAACATTTCACGTCGTATCTCCCCAACTAGCCATTGTTACACAGCTTGGTTTGGCTAGAAAATGGGAGAATAACCCAAGATGGAGTAATAGGTATTCTAAGATATGTATTCTTTGATACGTTTTAAGTAAACTAAGGAATTCACTGAAGACTTAAGCAAAAGAATAATGCAATTAGAATTAACATCACAAACACTTAAATTTTACTTAATCTGAAAACTTCAGAAGAGAGGTGTTTTTAGGCTACAATTTTTATGTATTGGCCTCTACTACCTGGTTCTGATTTCCTTTATTCACTTACTAAATATTTTAGCACTGGCTATGCAGCTTATCATCTGTATGCTATGAATATGTCATTGTGGATCTGATAATGGGACAAATGCTTTAGTGTGCCCTTAAAACTAGGAGTGGTACAGGAGAGGCTGACCCATTACTCAGGGTAGGAGAGTGCCCAGGAATGCTGCTCCTTGCAAACCATCCTGACCGGCATTCTCTGTGTGCAGCGCCAGTCTCTCTGTATTTGTTCATTGTTAATATCAGACTCATAGGGCAATATTTTTCCCCTTAAGAAAGTGTAAATCCGCTATTTATTGGGACCGCAGAAAGAGATTGCCTGACAGTCTGTTTTGCTAGTTTTGGACTAAAGCCAAATTTACAACATTAATTTTTATCAAAGTTTTGGTCAGAACAGAGACTTAGAATCAGGGTTAGATTACTTCAATAAAGCAAGAAATGTGCTTTTTCTTCTCCATCCTCCTAAAGCAGTGGTTCTCAAATAGCGATTTTTGCTCACTGGAGGACATTTGGCAGTATCTGGGGACATATTTGGTTGTCACAACATGGATTTGGGGGTGCTAGTAGCATCTAGTGGACCTACTAGTAGCGTGTAGCAAGCCAAGGATACTGCTGAATATCCTGCAATACACAGGACAGTCCCCAGCAACAAATGCCTCAAATAATGCTCAGGTTGAGAAACCTTGCCCTAAAGCCAACGAGTTGCCATGCACAGATCCTGTGTGGTAATAGAACCCAAGTTAAAAGCATTGAATCAGTTTTTTACACTAATGTTGAATAGAAGGGTGAACAATTCAGAACACTTTTCTAGTTGACTGATTTTAGGATAAATTTTCTCATTTTTTAACACATATGGACTCACATCCAGACATTCAACACAAATCATTGATCCCCAATTCAATCCAAATTGTCACTGCTCATTTTCTCCTGCAACTTATTCCATTCTGAAGTTTCAGTTTAATGCCAGATCAGTCCCTCAAATTTTGCTCTCATAAAAGAAATGGTGATTTTTATTTCAAAAAATGGATGTCCAGCTCCAGAGATCAGAGAATTTCCTTACAGTGAGGTTTACTCCAAGTCAGCAGCAGTGCGGGTGACTGGGGAGACCCCGAAGAAAGCCCTCGGGGTTCATTGGCCAGTCATTCACATATCGTATGATCACGTTTGTATGCAGTTCCTAGAGTAGTCAAAATCAGAGAGAGAGAAAATAAAATGGTGGTTGTCATGGGCTGGGGGTCGGGAACCTGGGAGTTATTTAACGGGTATAGAGTTTCTGTTTGGTATGGTGAGGAGTTCTGAGGATGGATAGTGGGGTTGGTTGCACACAATATGAACTTAATGCACACATAAAAATGGTTAAGATGATAAATTGTGTGTGTATTTTACCACAATTAATAGTTTTTAAAATTTGATATTCATTAAAATGAGTTCAAAATATAAAAGTGATT